ACACTTACAGGACGATCAAATCCTTGTTTAATATTGACCAAACATTTAATTCAAATATCCACTTAATCTTTCATTTTTGGCCACCTTTTTTGTGAGATGACACAGCCTCTATAATTTCTTCAACAAAAACATGTGGACATCACAACCCTTACCAAAATTAACCATAGTTTTATCGTAGTAAAACTGCTTAATTTTCTTTTGCGTGATTTCTGAATGCTTGAGACGATAACATCAATCAGACAACTGTATTAATAAAATCATAGACATAGGTAACAGTCTAGCGCTAATTTGTAAATAATACAATTTAATTACAATTTATTCATTTATTTACTTGTATATGTTATTAAAGTTCTGTTTTGACCCCTATAGTGTTTTTTTTTTGTATTTTTTTACTTCCATCATTTTTTTTTTTGGCACTCTGCTTAGGGCACCCATTTGGCCAGCAAACATGAAATCATAACCATTCATACGACAGCATTAATTCCATAACTATGACAAACAACCACCATAGAGAATACATTAATCTTACAAGCCAACTCATATAAATCAGAAATCATGCAGATCAGAATCTAATAAACAAATGGAATTAGGGCTGCTCTGGATGTTATTCTCTGCATCAATAGAGAATAACATAAGCCTTATTTTAATTTCTAGGCTGGAGATGGCCAAGTGCATCTTGTTTCAATAAAGAACAAAAACAATCTGGGCTCCCAACTCCATCTTAACCAAACTCATTTTAGGCTCGACAGAGGAAATGCTGTTGGAGAAAATGATTCCTAGAATCGTGGTGTGTTAAAGATTTCATGATTACAAATAGTTGAGCCCAGCAGCAGCATAATAGCCCCCCTTCAAATATCAGGAAGGAAATATAGAAGAGCTGTATTGAGAAATAGAAAAGGCATGAAGCATGAAAAATTCAGCCTAGTGCTGTAGGTAAGTACAACATCCTTGAAAACTATTTTCACAGCTTCTCAACAAAAAATTATTTCCTTATTATTTTTTTCTAAATGTCTTTAAAACAAGATAGTTTACATAAAAAGCAAAACTGTGTGAGAAATTACTGATATTCAGATCTACAGCATGACTGTGATTGATATTTCTTTTAATTAATATTCTGAAAAATTGTGCTAATTGACAAGTTTCTTGCAGAATCACGAGTTCAGGCATTCACCGGTTTTGTGTTTTTTTCATACTGTAGTTACTCCATACTAATATTTCATTGAACCAACAACACAGACTGGTTTTTCCATTGGCTCAACATACACATGTTTAATTGTGCCATTTATGACACTATGGTTAGTTCTGTTATTTCTCTGTTGTGTTGAGAGTGTCTGTAGTTGGTCTAGGAAGCCTCATCTGATTGGCTCCTGCAGGCTGATTGTTGCTGTGTCCTGATTGGTGCACAGCACTTTCAAAATTCTGATTTCTGTTTTTGGGTTTGTAGTTAGCGTAGTAGGCTCTGTGAACGTTTTGTTTGTTATTTTGGCCTTGTCAGCTCCCAAACCTAAACTCCCAATAAACGAATTATTGTTTTGCGCATTTTTGTTCTCGTACGTCTTTTCATTTTGCAACTTTTTCGTAGACGGGGAGTTACAGAGCCATTGTGATAAAGGCCATTTAGAAAAATGTAATGTGACTCAAAAATGTATTTAGAGAGGTAACTTACATCTTGGAATTCCAAGGGAAATCAACTGTGTTTAAATGCAAGTCAGATAACAGATAAGTATCTGATTAAAAACACAGTCGGAAGTGGCTCAGAATGGATGTGAAAAAATCCGATCTCAAATGAATTTCTGCGTTTATACGTGTGCAACATATTTAGATTATATGAGTAAAAAATTCTATTTTTTTTGTGCCACTGTAAATGCAGCCTTAAACACAGTTTTGCCAGTTGCATTTTCTCTGTTTGCTTCATCAGTGATAATAGTTCCAATTGAAGCCAAATGAATGCTGTTGGCATCTCAGAGCAACAAATCTAGAGGTGGTTCATTAATGAATCAGTGTTTCGAATGAATCTGCTTGCAACCATCTACTGGGGAATCAATGTACTTAAAAAAAAATAGTCACTGAAAAATCCTGGTTTCAATCTGAAATTGCCCCCTATACCAACATACAGTATTCTCTATACAGTACATTACTTCACTCTATCTATCTATCTATCTATTAGATATTATCAGCACTCTTGAACACTTCAGCCAATCAAATTCACAGACTGGAATAAACTGTTGTATAAAAAGTATACTTTTCAGAGAATATCATTTTCACCCCAATAGCATTTTTTTCTTATTGTAAGCATAAATCGAACATTTAGCATGTTTTATGTTAAAAACAAGAGAAACTATTTGGCAAAAGGTTAATAAACTTATTTCAAGACAGGTCTAAGTCTTATTATATTACACTTCTTGGCTTCTCAATGTCAAGTAAACGTTACTTGTTTTAAAAATATTTAGACTGATTAAAATGATCAGCTCCAGTGCAACAACATCTTCTAGCTGCTCATTAATTTGTGTTTTTGTAGCTTGAGGCCAGGAACAAATGATTCCCTCACAGTCATCAAGTTGGGGCTAAGTGTCAGGCCTTTCAACTGACCCTGAAATCCTGAAGTAGTTCTTTTTCGGCGCATACGCATCCTAATAAAACACATTCTCCTCCCTTAGGCATAAGTAGATATTAAATCATTACCCACTCCAATGGCCCATACTACAGCTAAAAGTGTTACATTCCATGCCTGGACACACTATTAGCGTACACAAACACACACTCACACTCAGCATGAGGTGTTTGGTGACAGCTAACGCTTAAGGTTAAACAGACGACTGGAGCCAATAGTCTTTTGTTTTGTTTTATTCTGTAATTAATAGAGCTCCACATTGAGGCTGTAAAGCGTCGCCTAGAATGTGTTTTACATTTGGCATGGGATCATATTCAAGTCAAACTATGAATTCATGGGAACACACTGTATTTCTTCTTCACACTTGTGATTATGCCTCCAGTTGAAGCAGACTTGCTGTAAAAAAAATTCCGTAAAATTTACGGTAATAAACAGGCAGCTGTGGTTGCCGGAATTTTACCGTAAAAAATACGGTAGCAACGTTTTAGGTTGTACGGTTTTAACTTAAATTTACAGTTAAATACCGTAATTTCATTAACTGATATAATGTTAATATACCAACCTATTGAAGTACTGAAATCTGTTTTGTACCTTCGTTGTGTCCAAACTTTCAAGATGACTTGAGAGGTGCGTAATGTGAATGAAGACATCATCCAATTCTTCACACTGCTTTTTTTTTTTTTTTGGTTCGATTTTAGCTTTTTCTTTTTTTATGTTATGGAACATGGTTAATGTTTTATATGACAGCACAGCCCATAACTGTATGTGTTTGTAAATTGCATGTGACATTGTATCAAAGGAAAATTCAAAACACACGGCTGATCAGACCCATCAAGGACATAGACACTAATCAACTCTGAAAATAATTAAAAACATAATTCATAGAACTGATTCATGAGATGATTCATGATCAGTACTGAGTGGATTCAGTGTTTACAAAGAGCATTAAGAGTACAAGAAGACTGCTTGCAGATGTTTTCTTGTGTACGCTTCTAGTAGTCTCTCAAAGCAACGTCTGCCAATTTAAGAAGAGCTGTTCAAGGAAGCCTCAGAAAGGGAAGTGTATAGTTCAAGGACAGCGGGGTGTATTATTTCTCATTCCGTGTTAAAAAAAAAAGAACAGAGTTGAAAAAAATGAAATATTAATCTACTGGGATTTGCTCACAGATCATTTGCAAAAAAAAAAAAAGAAAAAAGAATTTGCTTGTTTTGTTGTTTCCCTCAATGGTTTCCTAAATCAGTCAGACTTTGTTAATCTGGCAGTACACAGAGCCAATAGATATTGATATCAATGATAATGTGCTGAAGTAATTTCAGTTATGACATACAGTGCAACTCATTATACACCCCGGCTTTTGACTTGACATGTGAAAAGAAAAAAAGAGATGTTACATAACTGTTTTTGGTGAATTACCAGACATGAGAGGGCCGAATACTCTACGGCTCTGAACGATTTGCCCAAAGTCAGAGATTTCAATCAGAACTCAAAAATCTCTTATGTTCTTCCAGCACATGATTTGAGCTTTCTTGATTATTTATTGATTGCTGTTACTGTTTTATTATTATTATTATTATCTCTTATGGAATCATATGGAATGTTAACCTCTGAGACTCTCTCTGAAATATATCTCTCCACTCTATGAAATCTCCTGAGCTATAAAAGAGCAACCACCAAGCAGTAAGTCAGCTGAGCTGACTGTATTGTTCTGAAAGTGATTCCAATGCTATAGTTCTTCTGTGCTGTTATCGTTATAGTTGTGGTGTGGTGTGGACTTTTAAAAAACCTATTTCTTTATAGTCTTCATTACAATTATCGTCCTTGGTGTGAATAGACAATAGACTGAAGCAAGAGATCTGCCATATCTTCTGTATTGAAGCACCACTTTGTCATCCACATCTGTCCAGACCCTTGTGAAAAAAAGTATACGTTGTAATATATTCCCTGTTTTAATAGTGCATTGCAAAAAAAACAAAAAATTTACTATCTTTAAATATATAAAAAGTATATTAGCATCATGCTTTTTTGCCTATTTTCACAATACAACACTTTAAAATAAGTGTAATTTAGTATATTTTCAAAAAATATATTTTACAAAAATATACTTGAATTGAAAGTTCTGTTAATTTTTGATAAGTATATTTATTTGCACTTTACTTAAATTATATGTTATGAATATTTGTTTAACTGTGTGCTGAAAACGATCATTGTAACAATGCATTGAAAGAATACTTTCAAAGTACGTTATTAAATAACCTGAAGTTGTAGTATATTTTAAGTCACATTTTTGAGTCATTTTTAAGTTCACTTCTTCATGCTTGGAATTCACTTCATTACTTGGACATACATTGTTTTCAGAAATAAAGCGAATGCATTTTAAAGTGTACAGTCAGTAAACACCATCTATATTGCATGGCCAAAAATTGAAGTTCACTCACTCTGCATTAATATTATATCATTGCATTATTATAACATATCATTATACATTTTATGGAGAAATAAAGCTGAAAAACAACAATTGGCATTGATATCTGTATAAAGCTGCAGAAGTAGTTCCCCAGGAATCAGTTTTTATGTTTGTTTCTTTCAGCGTTCTTTTTATTTAAAAAACATGGTTGGTGCATTTTAGGTTTTGCAATGCTAAAACCATTTGCGGTTTAAATAAACACTGTTTGAATTGTTAATAATGTGTCTCTGTCTGTCATTGAAGTTATGTATTTATTGTAATGACCTTAAAAAGTGGATTCAGCATTGGGGGAAAATTTGCATATTTTTACTCAAAAATAATACATTTATAGCATATTGCTTGTGTGTTTCAAAGACACTCATAAATAAACAGTGATTTACTTGTGATACAAAAAAAGTACACTTTAATATCACTAATCGAGCATGTAATTAGAGATATACCTAAAGTGTACTAAGTGTAGTTGTTCCAATTTAGCATATAAAAGTACACTAAATACACTTAAAGTTATACTTTGCTATAATTTAATTACAACTTAAATATACACTCATAGTTGTTCCAAAATAGAATACTTCAAGTTAACTAATCAATAACACACTTGAAGTACACTGACAATTAGTCAGACTGCAAGTATACTTAACTTCTTTTTTTTTCACTAGGGGATGCGTGAAAGCTCTACAAAAGGATGCATGAAACTGCAGGAGTGCAATGTGCAGTACATTATCTTACAGGCACGTAGTGCAGGGAGTGTGAGAGAGAGAGATGTATGCTCAGTACATTGTGTTCCTTTTACATTGCATGAGGGTGTGATCTTCTTTCCCACTCAAATTAAGCAGATGGGCACTGAAGAAGCTGTTCACTGGAAAAATTTCCCCAAAATACATTATCTCCACCTAAACAGCATGCATGTATGTATTTATTTATTTGCTTGCTTGCTTACTTACTTTGGGAGTCCATATCCCTGCCTCCTGACGGGGCTAAATGTACAGCATATGGTTTTAACATACAGATGTCGACAATATCACAGAATGGTGTACGTGTCATAATATTTTCCCCATGGAATACTCAGTCAGCCCATGCAGCGACCAGTAAAAATGACTTTAAAATATTTTTGTCTTTTCTCGCAGCTTTGAGTCCTGATTCATATGCAAACTATTACCACATTTGCTTGTTGCTAATCAATAGCATGTTCTGTGCCATTTCTCTGCATTTAATTCTTCACAAAGCGCCATGACCAATTATGGTTTAAGAGATAAGAACTTAGGGTTTTTCTGTGACGCGCAGATATATTGCGAATTCGTGCAGGCTTAGTGTTCTGAAACAAGCTTAAAATGAAGTATATTGTTGTATTACATCACGGTGTCCTTAACACATGCACCATTCATGAGCAAATGATATGGACTTTTATTACACTGATCAGTCTCAACATTAAAACCAAATGCCTACTTTTTTAATGTCTTTTATGCCTACTCCTTGTGCTGCCAAAACAGCTCTGATGCATTAAAGCATGGACTCCACAAGACCTCTGAATGTGTCCTGTGGTTTCTGGCACCAAGACATTAGCAGCAGATACTTGCTACAAGTCCTGAAAGTTGCAAGGTGGGGCCTCCTTGGATGGGATTTGTTGGTCCAGCACATCCAAAGACGCTCAGTTGGATTGAGATCTGGATTTGGAGGCCAAGGCAACTCCTTGAACTCTTGTTGTGTTCCTCAAACCATAAACAATTATTTTTTTCAGTGTGGCGGGTGCATTATCCTGCTGAAAGAGGTCACTGCCATCAGGAAACACAACGAAAGTGTGAATGTGGTCTGCAACGATCTTCAGGAAGGTGGTATGAGTCAAAGTAACACCCATATGAATGTCAGAACCCAAGGTTTCCCAGCAAACATAAAAAAGCTGTTTAAAAATCACACTTACCTCTGTGGCAGCACTAGCCAGTAAACAGCAATGTGTCTAATCTTTTTGTGGCCTGTGTTATCCAATAAGGAAATTTGCACACAACTCTCAGTCAGTCCCATGAGTTTTGGGCAGGGATACATGTTTTTTGGGCAGAGGCAGTGTTTGGCAGGCCTGTTTGAAAACAGTTGCTTTGTCCGAAATCAATTCCCCATCATCTTACCACAGTAGGCGGAAGGCATTGCGTTTGCACCTACTGAGTGCCATAAAGACTGCATAAGTGTTCAGAATGAATGCAATGAATGAATGAAAACACACAAAACACATCTAAAATGGGAATGAGCTGTTGTGCGACTGACTGCACAAATTGATTCTTTGGGGCAATCTTTTATAGACTGCTGACAGCTCCAGCAGAGCCATGACAGATCCAGTCACCAAAATGTGGATTTGCACTTGTCATTTTGTTGAATTTTAGAGTAAAAACATTCCTTAGGTTTTTTTATTGACTACACACCAATAAATATTTGACATGATGTTTTTGTTAGCATTTATCGAAAACATATTAAGATTGTCACACCATCACTGTTTGGACTTTGTTTGCACCGTTTTCACCGTTGAGATAGTTGTCATGGGTTTCTGATTTGAGTTTTCATTAGGTTCAGGTGTGTCTTGTTAATTATCCTCATTTGGTCTGTGTATTTAAGTTCCTGTCTGTTCAGTTTGAGTTCATCGGGTCTTGAATGTCAAATGTTATGTGTGTCACCAGTCCTTGCTTGGAATTACTTACCTGTGGATTGATTAAAGAGTGTTTATCTTCGTCTTCGTGTGTGTTCATCGACACTGCCGTGACAGAAGACCTGACTTAAAAGTGCATTTAGCAGTGTATTTACCACCATTTGTTTTTTGTGTTGTCTGTGTTTTTATTTTCGGTTTCTTCATGGACCATTTCGCCACCGTCACCCTGCTCTGCCTTGAGCAGGGAGATCGCTCCCTCGCAGAACACCTGGAGGAATTCCTCGTTCTCAGAATTTAGACCAACTGAGACTGAGCTCAGAGGAAGCAATGGATTTATATTCAGATATGCCTACTCTTCCGCCATCATCATTGTCTGTCTGTCCTGTCACAACCACGGAGGTTGTTCTCCTGTCCGTGACACTCCCTGTCATGGGTGTCCCCATTTTTTGTGTGTGGGCCGCACACACCACCAGTGCTCTTTCCGAGAAAGCAATGTCTGTCCCTGAACTGTCAGTCTGCCCTGATCTGTCTGTCCTGTCACGACCATGGAGGTTGTTCCCCTGTCCATAGCGCTTTAGGTACTGGGAGTCACTATTTGGTATGTGTGGGCAGCATACACCATCCCAGAATCCCCGACGGCCATGAACTCCCACCCAGCCTCCCTCTCCCACCTCCACTCCTTTGTCACCTTGGCTCCTCCGTCCCGCCTTCACTGGTTCCTGTCAGCTCCTCAGCTCACCCTCAGTCAGTGCTATCCTGGAGCTTTGTCTCGCAGCGGGTCTTCCAGTCTCCAACTCTGCCTTGGCGTAAGGACCCCCAGTCTCTGCCTCCCGCCTCCGAGGCCTGGATTCCACCTCGGTCCTTCGACCCATTGGCTCTGCCTTAGCTCCTAGCTCCCTTGTCTCCACCATGGCCCGTCATCCCACTGGCTCCACTGGGCTCCCTCATCCCTCCGGCTCTGCCTTGGTCAGTCTTCAACCCTCCATTGCTACAGGATTCCACTCCTCCAGCTTCACCTCGTCCCTCCATCCCTCTGGATCCACATTAGTCCTCTGTCGCACCCTGGCTCTGTAGCTCTCCGTTTCCGCCCTGGGCTCCTCCTCCATTGGCGTCATCTCCGTCAGTCGGCCCCCTCGAGTCGTCAGACCTTCCTCCACTCCCTCTATCGACGACACCGTGGAGCGTATCTCTAACTGTGGCCTGGGCTTCTACTATCACGCCCCTGCTCAAGGCTCCTCCCTGGCACTTACCTCCGTCATCTCCACGCTGGACTCTGTTTGTCATCCTCCCGGTTGTCCGTCCTCATAAACCTCCACCAGTTTTGAATGTCAAATGTTGTGTCACCAGCCCTCGCTTGGAATTACTTATCAGTGGATTAAAGAGTTTTTTTTTTTCATCTTAGTGCGAGTTCATTGACAGTACAGTGACAATGATTATGATGAGCATTGTGTTCTACAAAGGGGGAAGTATAGATAGATAGATAGATAGACAGACAGACAGACAGACAGACAGACTCCTAGTTTTCCCTATCAGAGCCAGCAAAATTGCAGGATGTCTGGCCACGCAGTCCAACTAAGGGAACATTTCAGCTAGAAAAAGTGATACCTGTATGTACCCTCTATATAGTGAAATATATGAGGTTTTGTTACCTACAATGCACTCTGAAAAAGTACAGCTAGTCTTCACTTGCCAAAACACTATTTCCCAAATAATAGGGAGTGAATGAGTGAGCTTGAACAAGAGATGCAGTTTGTCATATTTTAATAAAAGTCATTATTTTTGTTTTCTTTGCGCACAAAAAGTATTCTCGTGGCCTTGTAAAATTACAGTTGTATCACTGAAGTCACATGGACTATTTTAATGATGTCCTTACAACCTTTCTGGGTCTAGGAACATTTCAGTTACATTGCTCTCTATGGAGGGTAAGAAAGCTCTAGGATTTCATAAAAAATATCTTAATTTGTGTTCCAAAGATGAACAGAGGTCTTATGGGTTTGGAACAGCATGAGGGTGAGTAATTAAATCAAGTCAAGTCAAGTCACCTTTGTTTATATAGCGCTTTTAACAATACAGATTGTGTCAAAGCAACTTGACAGTATTAAATAGGAAAATAGTGTGTCAAAAATGCAAAAAGTGTCAAAAGTTAATGACAGAATTTTCATTTTTGGTTGAACTTTACTTTAAGTAAAGAGTAACCCACTAGGTGTATGTTACACAGTTTAAATGCACAATATGGAGAATAAATCAACATGAAGTGCATTGTGTCCTTTAATAAAGGAATAAGCCCCAAGATACCACTCTGCATTGTGCTTTTTTACTGAGGTGGCAATGCTGTTAACACACAGAAACAAGTACACTCTTCACACTTTACCATTTATAATGCACATAACAAAGTGCTAAACCAAACCAATAATATGTTTCACTGGTGTGGTCACTTAACAAAAAAAGCATGACACAGGCTTCTGTTTTTAAAAAAATTTAAACTCTGGTGAGCTACATTCATTTCCCTCTAGTGGTCCCACTTTATTTTAGGTGTCTTTAAAAACGATGTACTTAATAATAAAATAATGAATTGTTAGGTCCAGTGTATTGTGTTCGTGTTTAATTGCAAAACACTTTCTGTTATTGAGGTGGGATATGGGCAAGGTTAGGGACATGTTTGATGGTATTTGTGTTTAAGGGGTAGAGGTAGGATCAGCAGTGAAATTTTAGATAAACTACATAAATTAATAACAGATGGTATTTTCATATAAAAGTACAATGTAAAAACGTGTGTTGGCAATAAGTGCATTGTATGATTAATTTAAATGTAAGTACATAGTAGTTAAGAACACAATATAAAGTGGGTCCCCACTAGTTAATTTTTAATTTCATAATAATGAACACAAATTAAGCATGGCAAGCCCTTTTTTTGTAATAATAAACCATCTACTCACTTAAAATAGTTGGGTTAAAAATAACCCAACAGATAACCCAATGGTGAGTTACTATAGCACCTACCAGATTTGTTTCATATAGCAGAGTAGTAGGCAAGCTTTGGGACATACATCCTGTCACAGTTAACAACCTCCACATTTATAGTTTCATTTAATTTCCTACCGTATTGGAGAGAAATGAAGAGACACATTGATCTGCCACTAGCGGGTCTTTCATGCATAGACCTGTTATTTGTTTAATGATGCATTTAAAAATCAATGACCAAATGTATCTTTATAAAAGTTCATAATGTTGTTGCAGATGAAATGCTGTATAACGCGGATAACATTGAAGGGGTCATATGATGCTGGTAAAAAGAACATTATTTTGAGTAGTTGGTGTAATGAAATGTGTTTATGTGGTTTAAGGTTCAAAAAACACATTATTTTCCACATACTGTACATTATTGTTTCTCCTCTAGAAAGGAAAAATTTAAATCGCATCATATGACCCCTTTAAATAGATATTTTTTTCAGCAGGTTAGATATTGATTATTAATCATGCAAACCCCTTTATCTAAATCTCTAAACTAACCAGGTCTTACCCACCATGTTTGTAGCTTTTTAACACTTTTAATTCATGTTTGTAGTTGTAATTGAATCTTCATCCAACACACAATGGTTTGTGGCCAATATTAGCTGTTAAGAGTGCACATCTGCACTTCGAATTTTCACCAGAAATAGTAAACCATCCATTACCTTTGGGATACTTATTTCAACATACTACGATTTGGGACACACTAATTCTATTTTCCAATGGGACAAATAGTATGCAAATTGAGAGGCAGTGTTAATTTCCTTCAGTCATCGCTAACATAGCACACTCAACTGCCATGCAGTACAGTAGATACTGTAGGGAATAGTGAATGAGTTCCAATCCCATATTTTTGCCACTAGTGGCACAGAAATCACATCTAAGACCAAACACAACTGAGATAGGCCTATTTGAACTGAGGCATATAATACTTATCGTCTTTATTATCATCTGACACAAGACAAAACTATACTGTAGGCAATTTATTTTATAAATGAAAACACAATGTTGTTGTGGTGAAAACATTTATTCACACATTATTACATTATTACTATTTACTTGGTACTATCTTTCGTAGTTCTTTAGTATTTCATCACAGTAAAATAGAGTGCTGCAGGGATGACGTATTTTTGTTGGCCAAATCCCTGAAACGAGTTAGCACTTCTGGTTTTGTTCCGGAATTTACACTTCCTGATGTAAGGTCTGCGTTTAACACAAGCTCAAGGTATTTTCATGTTTTATTCTACGACATAAAATACATCAGTAAAACCATCTGTTTTTATTTTTTATTTATTTTTTTGCTAAGTGGGACTGCAGAGGTTGTCTGAGACATTAAATGGCATCATGCTGAGCAGCAAACTCATCTATTTACTAGTCATTGTGTTTATATCTTTTCAATCTCAGACTGTCAGGGAAAATGCTTTGTAAATAAAGACTGAAAGTGTTGTTGAAGCTTAAAGGTGGTGACAAATGAAGTCATGCGTGTGTGGGGTTTGTTTATAATCTACGTTTAGCTTTTTACTTCTCTGTATTTAGGCTTTGAAGTTGTGTTAATTTGTGGAGATTATCATGAAGAAAAACTATTGTGTAAGAATAAGCTTTTGTTTCACAGATTTTATAGCCTGCAATAATCCAAAAGCCAATGAAAAATCCTATTGGGTTCCAAGGGTAATGCTAAACCCTTGAATTGAATTTTTGAATTTGGGATGCTGCATGATATACCAACCAGTAGAGATGTAACGATTAACCGCGAGCCGGTTGAAAATCGATTCAAATATGTGACGATTCAAATCGGTTGAGATGCTAAACGAATCGCGGTTCAATTAGGGGTAGGAGTTTATATGAATGTATGTGAGGGGAACTTACTGTCTTTAGAAAAGTTTAGATGGCATTTTTTCTTTTCATCTTGCCTCTGCATTAGTGTTGTCAAAAGACCCGGTATTTCGGTACCAAGTCGGTACTAAAAAAATGAAA